GGCTCCGAATTAGTGGGGGATTTCGAATACACAATACCGACCATAAGAAGAAAAAGATCTGAAAATATAGGGAGGGACCCATTGACAGGCCCCAAGATCGCTTATCGCGCGATTATGTTGTACGGAAAACTCAAGCGGCCCGGGCACCCGGCCACTGAACCCCACTTCCTGGGGCCTGGACCATCTTGTATATAATCAGCTCAGATGACCACAAAATAGTGCTCCATCTTCATTGCAGAAAAAGCCCATTTTCATCTACAGTGCAACTGCAACTCGTACGCCGTCTGACACTTGCGGCAATTTTCTTTTCACTTTTCGCAACAAATTCTTTCTGCGTCTTTTATTGCATAATCTGGCCAAGAGAGCAAGACAAATTTACAGCCAAATTAGAACTGGCTGGCTGCGGTTAGCCGTGACTGGCGATTCCTGCCACGAAATTGTAGAGTAGGAGTCAAATGCATATTCGCTTTCGGTTAGAGTTTGTCTCTAAAAATATAGTTTATTTTATATAAAATATAATTTAATGTATTCTTTGAAAGGCTTTCAAAATATTTGAATGCATCATCTGTTGATATAAAACCCTAAGATACGGAATGCAAAGAATTTTCCCAACATATGGTGGCTAACAAATGATGGCCATATATTATGCCGATCTAGAAAAGTCCAATCTGATTTGTAGCTGACAAGTACTTCAAAGCAATGAAGAAATTCCAGCAGTGTTTGCCTTTTTGGATGAGGAAGTAGCATCCAAGATGAGACTTCTTCCCAAGGGAATTGTCTGGCTGGCTGGCAGGGAATCCCCTCCTCCGGCCTGGGTATTTGTCCAGTCGCATATTGGATTTCCACTTCAGTCCTCGCTGAGTGCTGTAATAATTCTCTTCGCAAAAAAAGAACAAAACCGAAAGCGGTGGAGCTGCTGCTGCTGCTGCTGCTTCTTTGGCTGCCGATTTAGTTGCACTTGCCAGCCATGGACATGACTGAAATATTATTAGAAATGGCGAGGCAGTGCGTCGACGTCGACGACGACTTTGTGGCATCTTCCTTGGGAGCCGTGGTCACATGGGCGTTGCATTTTACGCTAAGTAAGAATCCAAATAAAGCTGGGGCAGCTGGACCAGGAAGCACGTCTAAAAATGTTTGTGCCTCCCCCGGCTGCTGCATCTACTGCTCCTTCTACTGAGGCTTCTTTCTTCATGGCTGTCGTTGTCGTGGTTGTTCCTCATGTTCTGTTCCTCTTGTCGTTGTTGTCGCTTGGTCGTGTTGCCAACTGCACTGAGAAAAAATTGAAGAACTAAAAATAAACTGGGAATACTGATAGAATGTAAAAAATTAAAGTTGTGGACAATTTTTCTAACTGTAAGGATTTCATATTCTAAATATTTCTTCCCTGTTTTTTCCATTACCAAGAATAAATTATTGAAAGCATTTTTCCCAGTTTAGCAAAATGTAGAAAAAAGTAGTGGGTGAGTGCATCCAACTAGCCTAATGATGCAGTGCAGCTCGCTCTGTTCTAGAATTGTGCATTTGCTGGCCCGGCCAATTTAAATTCTAATTCCATGTAGCAAATCAGATTAGCTGCCCAGTTGGCGGACCACAAATGGTTCGAACAGTTAGCCAAAGTTAGGTTTGAGGCCAGCCTTTTGGCTTTGGTCTTGGCCTGGCCCAAAACCGTTTTCACTCCTACCATGCAGACGGCGGCCATAAAGATTCATTTTACGACTGTGGCAACAATATTTTTATGTTTTTATAAATTTATTTCACATTTTCATTTGGAAACCAGATACACGGAGATAGACTTGCACTTTTCCCCAGTATTTCTCAGCTGTTTACGGCTGTTAAGTGTCGCCAAGTTTTTGTGGCTTAGGTTTTTAGTATACGCTTTTAACTGTTTTTTAAATGCATTCACGTTGCAGTTGTAAAGATTGACAAAATGCAAACTGGTTTCCGAAATGGCCCAATCTCGGAATGAGCTTAATAAAAATGATTTAAATCGGGTTTAACTTTATTGAAAGGCTCTTTATAATGCCGGGCCATCTAACTGGGGTTTCATTTTGGCTAAAACCCATTTTATCTGCCTAATTTGTTCAGCCATAAAAGATTTGTACACAAAGTAAATTTTGACTTCACCATTTTAATAAATTAAAGTCCACATCAAAAAGGTTTAATAAGTTTTTCAAGGTCTTGCTCATTTCGAAGACAATCAGAGAACCAAAAGCCTGGGGCATATAAAACGTTGTATTTTAATTAAAAAGTTAACTTTAGTGAAGGGAATAATATTTTGACATCTTGTTAATATTTATCAAGGATAAAAGTTCATAAAGTGCAGAAGCTTAAATTGATTTTAATTAAAAAAAAATAAAAATTACTTAAAAAGTAATAAAAATCAATCAGTTCCTTATAAAATATCTTAAGGAAGTGCATTTGTTTCTATAATTATCTTTATAAAGCCATGCAGAATGACTCATCTTCCTGAAGGCTCAGTCCCGAGATTTTTATGAATTTCGAGCTCTATCCATTTATTAGCCCTGAGTCCACACTACACACTCCATTAAGCCCACACACCCGCTCGGGGTCACCTTTTTGGCCTGCAGCCATCGATGGCTCATTAATTTCTGCGTGGCGGCCAATGAAAATAAATCGTAAATCAATAAACCGCATAAGAAACTTTGGCCCGTGTTTTCAATCCCCGCCTCCAACCACATTTTTAACCGCCTTTCTTTAAGTGCATCTTTTGGGTCTCCCTTTGGACCGACCAATATATTTCCCTGTCTGCGTTTCTTCTTGTAAAATTTAACAGTTTTAATTTTTTGATTAATTGGCCCGCTTGAATTTTATTTCTCGTACTGCTGCTGCTTTTTATCTGTCTCCGAAAACATGGAAACAAATTTTGATTGATGTTTTTATAATTTTATGGGTCTGTCGAAGATAAAACCCTTGGACCTTACTGAGATTCTGCTTCTTGTGAAGCCGAAGGAGAATGCTAAGGCCTAGCCACAGGTGTTCGAGCTTTCAGCAATTAAAAATTCAAATTTAATTTTAGCCTAAACGTTTCTAAACAAAGCAATGAAGCCATTCACCAGCACATATGCATGCGATTACACTTCGTCTGGCGCTGTCTGGCGCAGCGGGATATATACAAACGGCTGGTGGGCGAAGGAGGCAGGGCAGAGCGGACTGGGGTCGGGGTGCATCGTCTGCAGTTGCACAGGAAGAAAATGGGGTATACTTTTAAAGAAATTTGTTCAGAAGGCTTCCTTTACTACCTCAAGAAAAAGAAAAAAAGCTACAGTTTTAGTAGGATTGTAAAACCCTTTTACACTTTTATTGGTTTTTATGTTAAATGCAATCGAAAAATGGATATTAGCTTTAATTGGTTAATTTTTTCTGTGTGCATTAATCACGCTTGAAGATTTATGCAGCCAGCGGATTGTAGATTGAAAAGCATTTCATGTTGCACTTTGTTGGCACAGTTTCTTCTTTTCGAGGCAAGACTTCCGCATTTTGTTGGCCGTTCTTGTTATTGTTTTCGGCTGGGACTGTATCTTTAGCTGATTCCGTTTGTTTGGCGCCCTTAACGCTGAGAATGCTGGCGCATAAATAACGTGAGAATTATGGTACAAGAGAAGCCAGTTACAGCAAGCAACAACCAACAGCCAAAAAACAAAACAAAAAAAAAAAGGAACAGGAAAAGAACTGGGCATAAATATGCATGCGCGGCAATAAAGAAATTGGTAAATGTCCCGGTCGCAGGACCATTGTGGCCAACTGTGTGCCACTTTCCGCTTTTGATTCGCGAAATTTTGGCCAGCACAAAAAGGCCAGCGATCGCAGCAGTCAGTCGTCACTCAGTGGCCACGTCACGCGCTCGCAATCGTTTTTGGCCCGCATTGCCAATTACGACACCATCAGCAACCAACGACCAGCAACTGCAGCAGCAGCAACATCAAGCGCACAGCAGCAACACCAAGTTACAGCGTTTATTCGCAGCCTCTCAGCCTGCCAATTTATGGATGCACCTCGCTTTTGGGCCAGTTCACCGTATTTTTTTTTTTGGCAACCAAAATCAAAAACCGCTTATTATCAGCACTTTTTATGTTTGACTGCTCGGGGCCAAAGGTCTTAGGAGCATTGGTACTTGGGATTTGGTGTTCAGTTTGAGAGGCACAGGGGCATATATGTAGGAGATATATATAAAAAACAGAAAGTAGTGGGAAGCTGGGTTTGTACTCGAATAATTTAAATAGAAATAGGTGTGCAGTAAATTAAACTGGCTTTTATGCTTCTTAAAGTGTGAAATGTTTAAAATAAAAAGGGATCTTTTCAAACAGTAATAAAGGTTTAATAGACTCTTAATGTTGCAACTTGCAATTTGTGGAGATTTTCAGGAGATTTAATGGGCACATCTGAACATAAACATTTTTAGGTCATTAAAACAAGAAAATAAAAAATGAAATACAACTTTTGCTTGCTTGCCTTTTGTGTTGCACAAGTAAACCAAATTGGATTTCAACTAATATTGAAAATCCATGCGATATTTCTGTCAACAGTTTGACAAGCACTCAAATTGGGTTTGACAGCCACTGAACTGTCCGTTGCGTGAACTGGAGCACTTGGTTGCCAGGTTGCCAAGTTACCAAGTTAGCTGCGGTTGCTGCTCCTCCAAATGGCGGGCAAACAAATGACATGGCTGACATGGCTGCAAGTCATCGGTTGGGAGCGTGTCGTGTTTGTCATCGCAGATACCTGAACACGCTCATATCGGTCCAGTTCCAATCCGCTGACATTGCCAGACACATGTGACAATTGCCCAGATCCCACTCCCAAATACAACCTGTTGGTCGGTCTGTCTTTATGACATTAATTGGCCGAAGTCGTCTGGAAAAGTCAGTTTCACTTTTACAGATGATGATCCGCTGATTTGGGTCAACCCCACTGCTCCAATCCAATCCACTACAATTCGATTCACACCTCGCTCTGGCTTTTCTTGTCCCTCATTTCAGGCGGCACATTTGCATGCAACATCGTACGGTGACGATGCCCGTGAAGCGGACAGAGGTCTACAATCGTCCCACCTGGAAGCACGTGGCCACGCCCTGCCAGCCGCCCACCTTCACTGGCCAGAAATGCACCAGGGTCCAGGTCATTCACGAAAGGGCCTACAGGGATGTTATCGAGCACAAGACCGCCCAGCAGATGACCTACGACTGCTGCACGGGATGGAGCCGGGAAAACCCAAGGGCTGATGCGTGCATGAAACGTAAGTTTGTAATAATTATAATATTGCCCAAAAGGGATTTTTTATAATAAAATTAGGATTGTCATTACTTTGACTACTTGGAAAACATTTTCGGTAGTTATACAGTAGTTTATCATAAAGTAAACTTTTTATGAGCTTTAAAATAAACTATTTAAGATCCAGAAGATGTGTGGAAATATACGAGGTGTGTTCAAAAAGTAAGGTGACTCTTCAAATTTCGCGAATTTCAAATTTTTCGATTATCGATTTTTTTGTTTTGTTATATTGGTACACTCTTCCCTAACATCTGTACCAAGTTTCAATGGAACATCCTCTTTTGTTTGGTTGTGAGAGGCGTAAAGTTACAAGTTGTTTTGCGAGCTCGGCGATTTTTTGCTATCGAAAAATATGGATCAAAGGATTTGGATTTTTTGGCCAAAAACAACACCACAATAATGCCTCAGCCACCATATTCACCGGATTTGGCCCCATGTGACTTTTTCTTGTTCCCAAAACTGAAGATAATCGAAAAATTTGAAATTTGAAAAGTCACCTTACTTTTTGAACACACCTCGTATAACTTCTAAAAGGTTTCGATAATCGAAAAATTTGAAATTCGCGAAATTTGAAGAGTCACCTTACTTTTTGAACACACCTCGTATCCTAAAAAAACAATTACTAAGATCAAACGAAAATTACGTATCCGACCATTGGTACAACTTTCTTATAAACCTGAGACGAATTTTGGAGATATTTTTTTAGTCTAACTTTTATTTATACATAAATATCTTAATATTTTTCTAGCTGTTTGCTCCACGCGCTGCCAAAATGGTGGTAATTGCACGGCTCCAAGCACCTGTTCTTGTCCATCTGGTTACACAGGACATTATTGTGAAAAGGATGTGGATGAGTGCCAGACGGAGAAGCCCTGCGATCAGCAGTGCTTTAATACTCATGGATCCTACCTCTGCCGTTGCCGTCAAGGATTCGAACTGCAGGCAGATAAACAGAGCTGTAAGAAGGTGTCCTCGAATGCCGACGATGCCTTCGAGGCGCGAGATTTGGAGAACGACATAGACGATACGGATGCAGAGGTAGACACGCGACTGCAGAAGATCGAAAGATCCCTTGCTAACGAGCGCGTGCATACCAACGAACTGCAAAAGTCACTCCAGGCCACATATAGTGTGGTGGACACACTCAAGAGCCGGCTAAGCACGCTGGTAAGGATTTGATAAGGGATATTGTAAGAAATATTTTATGTTTAATGGTTGTCCTCTGATTTTACCACAGGAAAAGCAAGCTCAGGATGTCAGCCGCCTGCAGACGAATCTCTACAAGACGGAATCACGAACCAATAAGCTGGAAGGGATGCTGAATCTTTTGCTAAAGTGCCGGAATGGCCCCAATGAGAACTGCCCCTAAACAGAACTGCATTTCCCTACGCTACTATTAAATGTTAGTTAACTTAATTGACCAATCTGTTTACGTGTAGCTGCTCCTGCTTGTAAGCCATTCCCGAATGCGAGTCGAGTGCCTCTGTAGTCTCTAGAATCAGCCCTCGGATCGGGCTAATATATTAGTACTTAAGCGAACGTGTCATAAATGTATCGAGATCTGAAGTTATAGCCATAAGCGCACCACCGCACTCTGCACCGCCCAATGGGGGTGGTGCACCGATTATTAGTTTCTGCATGTATCTGTATATAATTGTAATGTATATGAGAAATCACTGCACAAATAAATGCATTTTATAATTTGAATGGAGTTTTTATTTATCGAAGAAAGAGCTGCTGGGAGATTTACATGGTTGAAAAAAATTAATTGATTTTCAAACGCAAGAATCAGAACTCACCGAAGTTTCAAACCTTCCAAGCAGTGCAATTAATCGATTGTTTTATGTAAATATCGATATTTCTAAATTTCTAGAAAAATCGTTTATATCGATTTTAGTCCATATCTAACAGCGAATCACAAACAAATAATTGGACTACACAATAGAATTATTATCAGTATAAATATAGGGGACGCGGCCAGCATAATTGAAACCATGTCACTATAGTGTCATTAACAGCAATCAAACATTACACATCTTCTGGAAAATCCCAAAAGCAAGCAGTGACGTCATTTGTGAAACAAAGCAAAAACTGCGCAGAAACACAAGGGAAATCTGTGTTAGGCAAGGTCCGTCGAAAAAGGGGCGGAGGTGTTATAGAAACTGATCCCCCAGATTTCACTTTTACCACAATTAAAAACTGATTAAAAATCGAAGAGGAGCGAGTTCAAAGTATTCAGTTCACCATGACGCGCGATGAGAAGCTGCCGCTGAAACAGGCGGAGGTCTCCATACAAAGGTTTCAGGATATGGCGGTAAGTTAAATACTATATATATTTCGTATGATAAATCTATATTCCTTACCCACCTGCAGGTGCCACACCATCTGAGCTTATTAAAGAACCATCGCAGCAATATAGAAAAAAGTCTTGCACTTGGCGACTGGCAAAAAATCAAAAAAGAGGAACTCAATGCCTTGAGGGTTATCAAACAGATCAAAAATCTACTCTTAGAAATGGATGCACTGCGTGAGAAAGTGAGGGAGGAGGATCTGGAACGATTTGATGCCCTGATGCGCCCTGGCAGAGAAAAAGCCTTTGCTGGCATGAAGGAATTTGCAGGTACGTTAAGAATTTCCTTTAAAGTTCATTATATAAATTCATAGTTTGTATATTTTAGAACTGCAACTTAAATCACCTACCTCCACTTTAAGTTCCCAGTACGACGATGACATGGATAACCAACCCCAGGAGGTGGACATGAACAGTTTACCCGCACACCGGAATATGCCACAACTGCAATTGAATTTTCAGCTGGAGGAGCACACGTTAGCCCAAAGACAAGCCTGTCTTGACCAGATGGAGAACTTGCAAAAGGAGATCTACGATCTGCATGGAATGTTCAATGGCATGCGGCAACTTACTGCAGAGCAGTCGGTGGCGGTGGAGAAGATCGCAGACAATGCGGAGGAAGCCTTGGAAAATGTCCAGCAAGGCGAGCTGAACCTGCGCCGGGCTCTTACCTACAAGAAGGCCATGTATCCCGTAGTTGGTGCTCTTCTTGGCACCTGTGTTGGTGGACCCATTGGGCTGGTGGCTGGTATCAAAGCTGGTGGACTAGCCGCAGTAGGTTGTGGCATTCTGGGCTTCACCGGAGGCTCTGTTCTAAAGGCCAATCCAAATGTCATGCATGGCAATATCGAGGAAGAACAAGTGGAACCGGATAGCGAGTCCACCGAGAGACTGGAGCTCAAGGAGAAGCCAGAATGACCCACCGAAGACAGTGACCGAATCGCATCCACGGCTCTGGCCAGGACGCACATCTGGTCGGCGAATACACGGCGTTTGGAGGCGGCAACCAGCGGAGTAATCTGCAGTGTGCGCAGCTATTGTTCCGTTCAATAGAGATTTTATACCAATTTTAGTTCAATATCCCCCATTTTGTGATTATCCATGTGCAGTAGAGCTAAACAGCATCATCTCCACTTTGTGTCTAGTTTAAGCGTTGAATATTTGTTGTTCACATGACACCGCAACTGTGTGTAGGTTTTAAGGCTTTAATATGCAATAATAACTCTTAGCTTTAACTACTACTTGCAGAAAGTGTTTCGTTTGCCGTGTCGAGGAGGTAAAAGCTTTTCAAATCTAGGTTTTTATCAATTTGTTAAGGCTTTAATATGCGATATAAACTTAGCTATAACATCTTTGTAGAAAACGTCTACAAAATCTCCTAAACTAAGCGAGGTCTTACAAACTACGATAAGATACCAGATGGGTAAACCTGACCCGGATTTAAAGGGGCACATTAACTGTCGTCCATGCCTGTTTGAAGTTCTTTTTCTGGGAGTGCTGCTTCTTCCTTAGACGCTTAGCGGTCTTCTTCTTCTTGAACCACGCAGGGTAATTGCCATACTGATCTTTAAGGGTCTTGCTGTTGAAAACGTGCTCCACGCCAGTATTTTCGTTGGTGACTTTCACTTTTTCTCCCTTCTCTAGACTTTCCTGGTGCTCGTATATCAATTCTTGTTCTTCCTTGGATTTGGCTTCCTAAGAATGGAAAATGGGTTTTAGAAAGGGTTTATAAGAACACCCAGCTGAGGGTAGTAGCTATGTAAGGAAATAACTACAGGTGCCGAGATATCACTAATTACTTCACGTAACTCACCCTTTTAAGCTCCTTAGCGGTCTTAACTTCGACCACATCACTAATATCTTTCATAATCTCATTTCCATCGGCGTCTAGGAGTCCCAGAGTTTTCTTTAGACGAATTAGCTCTTTAGCTTCATATCGCGCCTTCTTTATCTTGTTCATTTCATCGCGGCGTTTTCGGGAGCGATTATTTCTGCCCATTTTGTTTGTAGGATGTTAAATTACACCCGAAAATAAAAATAAAATGAAGAAATTGCGTTCAATTTATTAAAAACGTAAACACGTGTGTTCTGGTTAAAGATTGTAAAAACGCCGATATTTAACAGATACTATCAAAGGCAACGATATGTCCAGCCTCATTTCCTAATCGATAGTTGCCTATAAAAATATCGACCAGGGTCTCTGCTTAGATCGATGTCGTTTAATTTTAAAAAAATTTTAAAAAATTTCCTTCCCTGCATTTAGTTAATTTAAAAGTAATTACTAATTAAAAATCCTCTTGGATATATAAATTAAATGTATGATTCCTAAAATAATTATAGTTTTATTTGTGAAAGGTGTAAAAATGTATCTTACCGGGTATTAAACTTTTTTAATTTATTTTGTTACATATGCTATATGCTTACTTATATTATATACATATAGTATATATTGGATCCTAATAAAAATCATAATTTTTATAACTTTTTTCTTAAATGGATAAAACAGTTACTTGTCTTAAAACCACAAATTAAGCTTTTGTGGTTTCCTTCCTTTTCCTTTTCCTCCCTACCATCTCCATTTACATGGTACCCATTTTTATTTATTCCTCTGTATTTATTTACCTAGTTATTCTCTCTTTTCTCACTTTTTCGCTCTCATCTTCGTGCTCTCAGAATGCAATATGACTTTTGTATACAAACAAAATCAGCTGCTGAAGAGAGAAAATGAGAGGCTTGCAAAATAAGAAAAAATTATACAATAAAGCCACGGTGTGTTAAACATGATTAAGTGATACTCTTTGTTTTTCTTAATATATATATATTGAACTAAATAATACTTTAAATCTTTATAAGAAACCATTTTTGAAATCAATGTTGATAAACAGTGTTCGTTGTAAAAGAACAGAGTTTAAAACCATATTACATATTTATTACTTTCATTTATTATAATTTGATATATAGAGTATTGTAGGTTTGGGAAGAGTATACAAAAAGACCACTCTTGCACATGCGCAGCAGCGTAAACCGAGGCGGAGAGGCAGAAACAGGGTAAGTGTGTCGGGCTCAGCTGTAGAAGCACCAACACAGCTGCAGCAAAACCAATACTAACTCAAACTAGAGGCACACATACATAGTGGCAACCAGCTTTGTTGGCCAGTTTGTAAACCTTCTGCCATCATTCGCTCGTCAGTCCTTGTTGCTAGCATACGTCACGGAGTTCCTGTAGCGCTGCTCTCCGCACTTCTCACCCCCTCTCAGTTCTTTAAAACGGAAGTAATCAGCACAAACAAATACAACACAGAAATACAATAATCACAGCAATTAAAAAAACATTTTGTGTAAAAAACCTTGCTGGTGCAAAACATTGCCGAGTATAGAAATCAGAGGACAAGGAGAGATTCCACCATCGATCGATCAATAAACTCCGGGCAGCAAGTAAGTGCAGTTTTAACCCCCAAAAAATTAAACAGAAAACTTAAGCGGAAGTCCTCCTCCAAGGAAAGGACACTCACACAAACGGGCTACACATTCTCAGATATAATTCTCAAAGTTTTTGCTGCAAGTCGATTTACATGTACACACATCTCAAGTGCAGCCAAGCGATACATACACAAAAAAAAATGCATAAAAACAAAAAAGCTGGAAAAAAATTCTGATTGCACCTTCGCTTCCAAAGAGTTCACACTTTTGCGACTGTGTGAGTTTTTCTTGGTTTTCACCCAGGCCGAGTTTTCCTTTGGCAAACACACAAAGTTTTCCCCCAAAACGTATCCATTCGCCTGCAAATCGGTCGAGTTTCTTGTTAAGGGGCATTTCCATTCTGGGCATCTAATAGCCATAAATTTGACTTGCATCACGTTTTCAGCATTTGTAGCGATCGTTATCAGATCCGTGCCACATCTCAGATCTCTGGCATTTCCCAGCTGAAAGCACTGTGGAAAATAGGGGTCCTTTCAGAGAATCTGTTGGAATTGAAATGAGGAAAATCGAATAAGCAGAACTAATTGGGTATCATTTTAATTGTTAGGATTGTGTCTTCTTTATTTCCACAACCATTATGAAAATTTCAATAATACATAATTTAAAATTAATTAAATATTAGATTTTCATTAATTAGGAGCTTTTTTCTCTGGGTGTTCAGACACATTTAGCTACTGCACTTTGCCCCAACGATCGAGTTTTTTTTTTTGCAATCATTATGAGTTTGTGTTCATGGAGTGTCATCTGGCGATGGCAAGTGCAATGAATGTTTCGCTGATTAACATCTTAATTAGCCTTGCAATTATTTCCTCAACTAAAGCTGAGTATTTCAATGGCCAAAAAATCGCTGGCTGCCTGCCAGCATTTGCTCAGTTGTTTGAGATTCATCCGATGAAGACTGAACGCAAATAGGGAGCGTTTTAGGAGAAACCATTGCCACTCCACAAACACAAATGCAGACCCGAAAACCCAAGTGAATCATGCGGCAAATGTGCAGAACAGGTCTTGCAGTTGCTATTGTCCATTGTCCATTTTTCGAGCTGAAGAACTGAAGGTGCTGGATCGCAACGGATGGGCAGGGGCCAAAAAACGAAGGGGCAGAATGGTCTCGGTCCCGGATGATAAATCAAGTCTGGCCAGTTGTTTGTCTGTGGTAACGAAAGAAAAATTGAAAAACAAAAGCCACAGACAACAACATAAACAGCGAACAGCTGATGATGCTCCTCGAACTCGCCAGAGTGTGTATCTGCCAGATATAGTAGTTGGATGCCCCGATCGCGGCCAACAAATCTGGTCGCCTTAATTGGCCAAAGGGTAAGCAGAGTCACAGAGAGTCCAAGTTCAGCACGGAGAAAAAATATTTTGTTTTATAGGACAAAGGACTGCTTATACTTATTAATCAAAATTTTGACCAGTTTCTCTTAGTGTGATTCGTTTCTAATTAAATCAAGATATCGACCCATTTTGATGATATTTTTCTCCCTGTAGCAGTGTCAATTCCTTTGTGAGCTATTTTTGAACCAGTCTTGGCCTTTTAAGGCGCTGACCACTTTTAAGGCGCTTTTCACCCAGCAAAGTCGATCTGAGTAGGGAATGAAGGTACTTAAGTCATCGTTAGACGGCATTAGCGGGTTTAATTAGAACAGAACCGTTTTGGCCGCTGCCAACTGACGCGGCATTTTGTCATTTGTCCCGAGGGTCTCAGTCTCAGCCCATCAAGATATAGGAAAAAAAACCCAACTATCAGGTAGCAATGAAGGCAGCTGGTGCTGTTGGCTAATCCCAAAATGGCACGCATTGCGGACGGGCCTCGACGGACCCTCTCTCTATAGAGCCGATAATGCCCCGACTATAATTAGAAAGTTAGTCAGCCGACATTCTGTAACTGTAATTACGCGTGTGTATCCGAAAGATATCCAAACAAAAGACCAAACCATAAACACTTGATGTTCTTGTCTCGGTTTTGGGTTACTGTTTTTTCGGGTGCCTGGCAGGTCCTGATTTATGGCAGCGAAGAAAGTGAAATTCGGTTTGGGAAAACCTGTTTGCCATTTACTCAGGATACAAATAAAAAACGAAAAACAAAGGCAAAGACAAAGACCAGAGTCAAGTTCAAGTTGTATAGTAATTTCGAGTTATATAAGTTTTTTCCTTTGAGGTTCTTGACTGCGCATCAAAATGTTAAAAATTATGTCATAATTCTGAAATAAACGCAGCTGCAGCGAGGCCTATAGGGGAGGAATTTTGGTATAGTGGGGTATACGGGGTGGTTCCAGGTGGTAGGACGTAGGCCCAGTAACACTGCACACTGCGCAGTTCCTCCCCAAAAGCCTTCACCCTCCTCCAATGGGGGTTGCTGACGTGTTCATTTTCCACTGGCGCTGATTTGCAGCTATGGGCCTTTCATCGATTTGCAGCTTAACCGTTTTTAGGAGGGAAAACGTAGGGGTCTTCTCACTTGGCACCCTCTAACAAAATCCCAAAAATAGCAAAGGTGACCCCCAAAAATTCTGCGGAACGGGAGGCTGCAAAAAAGTTTTTCCTGGGCCTACATTTCCCTAAATGCGGAAGTCGTTACTTTGTATATATATATTGTATATATACACACATAACTGCAGCGAGAGAGTAGACCAAAACATTCGATAGGGCTCGTAAAGGTTGCTAGGTAATCATCATCGGGGGAAAATGCCCTCGACTGCGCAGGTCAAACAAATTTGTTTGTAAACAAAATCGCACAGAGAGGAAAGAGAGACTGAGTCTTCTCAATTTTCCTGCACTGAATGTAGGGGAAAAGCCAGTAACAGTGTTACAGTAACCAAACTGTGCGGTGGAAAACTATTTTAAGCCCAGCGGGGGGGTGTCTGCAAGGGGTGGGGGCGTGGCGGTCGATTTATATTTGCCCATAAATCTCCCTCTTAATTGGCGACGTTCAAACACAATTGCGGTTCTTAAAGTGCTATAGCCTGACGGCTATGGAAATTTAGTCCACAATTGTGTCAAAAATTAATTTGATTATGAAGTAAAGGAATGTGGGGGTAAATAAGGATATAAAGGGGTGGTAGCTAAAATGTAAGGGAAATGAAGAAACAAAAATATGTGAAACAAAATGTATTTGTTTTAACTGAATTTTTATGCCAGTGTAGCACATAATTTTCAACAAATGCACACGTGCTAGAAGCCATAATATTACATATTGCGACTTTAAGTTGTATTTAATGTCATCATGATGAGTCTAGTCATTTCCGAGTCACCAATTGTACGCCTGATGTAATCCGCCAGAAGGGCGCGTAAATCGATTGACTGCCGGAATATGAGATTGATTGATTGTTTACAGTAGATTAGGGCCAGAGAGACGGCGCTGGCCCATTATTCTAAATACGACAGCTGGACCGACTAGTACTGATATTGATAAACAAAGTGATAAAAAATATGCGTCGTGCCCAGGGTATTTGCCTAAGAAGAGACACAACTGCGTCTCACGTACTAATTGAAATTACGCGTTATAAAACATCCAATTATATATATGCGAATATAATAAAAAAAAGCTCATATAAATGACATTAATATGTACAGCCAAAGTGCAGCAAGGTACGCGAACTTGAAATCGTATATGTATTTGTAGGCGGAGAACCTGCAATCCCACATTTATCATCGATCGTTTGATAAGCTACCGACACACAATGAACCTCGCTTCTCGGAGGTATTGGATACATTTACAGTGGAACCTCTTAAGTATGTCTTTGTTTGGGATACGTGTATATGTATTACTGTGACATCAAAGAATCGTTTTCGTCATTTTCCAGGAGCTTTACTGGGGGTCTTGATGGGCTTTGTAGATATGGCTAAAAATATACATTCTAGCAAAATGATAAAGATTTTTGGCTGATCAAAGCGTTATTCAGCCAATTTTTCAAAATTAAGAAACTTACATAGAATCCGCAGAGCTAGCTTTGAGAACTATTTTGACCTACTTCGAAACGAAACTATATAACCATTGAAACTAATTATCATTTATTATTCTAGTGAAACATCTAAGTAACCCATGATCATTTTGTTGCACTGCATATGGTATCCATTGCAATGCAGCTAGAAATCCAACTGAAAAGCATTCATATTCATGGAAGCTAGCATAAGCATTTCCACAACTGTTTGCCCATCGAAAATGAAATGAAAACATAAAATGAATAAAAAGTTGCTACACTCGATGTCGCATTTAGCTGCTGTCGATGCGTTGGCGTCAGTCATTTGCCATCATATAATAGCGATTCGATGTCCAGAACTGCGCAGTATCTCCAAGCTATGCTTATAGAGGGGGGTCTATGGAGAGTGGTTTATGTGGGGTGGGTCCGAGCTGGTGGAGTTTGTGCGCAATAACCCAGAAAGAAGTGCTCGGAACAGTAGAGTTCACTTAGCTTTGGCCAAGGTTCACTTCACTCACTCCCTTTGATGCTGGCCGCTTTTTCAGTTGTTTGCATGTAAACGCCAACGTTTGTTGTAATCATTTTTTAGGACAGAAGATGTGGCAGCAGCTAGCATAAACATTGCCAGATTAGATAAAGCCCCATACAGACCTAGACCTGGCAGTTTTCTCTATCTGGGATTTGTTTATTTGAGTTTAAAGTGCTGCCGGGCGCAAATAGTTTTCTATTTTGTTTTCTATTTCGTTGGCGTCTTCCCTGATGACGCCAATATTGTTTACCTCTACGCAAAAGTAGGGGAATTTTGTTTTCTTTATCATGTTTTTTATACTTTTTTCTTGAACATAAACAAAACGCGTGCAGACTGAGATTAATTATAAAAAAAAAATTGGGGTTGGCCAATGGTGTGGGGAGAGATCACAAGATTTTGTGTAGGTATAGTGGCCATAAACATACATAAATTTTCCTATATATTTGAAGATATACACCTAGCTATATCCGGAGACTGTTTTTGCTGCCTTTTGGCACCTGAGCGGG